GTTCTGAATCCTTTTGTTTTTACTTAGGTCACATCTTTGGCTGTTGTTTGCAGACCCTTATCATTATGGCACAAAGCCTCCTGTTCTAGGCCCCATTTGAGGGCCTTTCCTTGGTGGATTGGGAAAAGGCAGGGAGGTAAAGGAACCTCTTTACCTAGATGCACCTATGCCAGGTGAGAGTGACAATATACCTTTACAGCTTGATACAGGCGGAGTGGGCGCAAGCTGCATTTCAGTGCCAAATGTGGACTGAACCATGCGACTGACTCAAAATGTGGGACATGGCTAGTCCTGTGAGCAATATACAGCGCCCCGGGGAGCGGAGTTGAGGGTTAGTCACTGTGTCAGCTCCCATACTGCTCTCTCACTTTAGTGACAGGTTTGTTGTTAATGCACATTTTGAGCAATTGGGGATTACCCTCACTTCTTCTTCTGGTGGGCAGGGAACTAATAGGGAGGACACTAATAGGATTCTTCCCCTTGCAATTTCAGGGGTACCTGTCAAAAAGTGTGGGAGGGCCAAGAAATACCCAGAGGGATCTCCTCATAAAGCAAAGCCACCGAGAGGATGAAGGGGGGAGGGGGAAGGATTTCCCTTCCACAAATACCACTGTGTGTGGGTGGGGCTCCCTGCACCCTATTGTGTGCGCATGGGAGAGGGGGAATGCACTGCCCCTGCTGGCTGCTACAGTGTGTGCGTGCGGGTTATGTAGGAGCTGTGATCTCACTGACTCTTCCTAGTAGTGAGAAGGGGCTGGTGTGTGTAGCTGTACAGAGCTGTGCTCTCCCTGAGTAGTGAGAAGAGGGCGGTGTGTGTGTGTGTGTGAATGGTGTGTCTGCATGTAGGAGCTGTGATCTCACTGACTCGTGCTAGTTGTGGGCCGGGGCCGAGGTGTGTGTGCGCGTGTGTGTGTAGATGTACAGGACCTGTGATCTCATTGAGCAGTGAGAGGTGAGTGTGTGTGTACGAGCTGTGATCTCGCTGAGTCTTGGTAGTATTGACAAGGAGCTGGTGTGTGTGCAGATGCACAGATCTGTGCTCTCCCTGAGTAGTGAGAAGGGGGGGGGGGGGGTGTGTCGAAGGGGTGGGACTCCTCCGCCCCCCGCCCCCCAGCGGGCTGGGACAAAGCCCCGGGCGAGCGAGCGCGGGTGAGAGGGTCGTGGAGGGATCTAGGGCGGTGCCGCAGGGCCCATGTCCCTCCGCTCCGACCTAT